ATATATATATATATATATATATATATATATATATATATATATATATATATATTTGTTCTGCATTGGCGTCGCAATGTCTAAATCCGTATATATTTATGCCAGCCAATTAGCGGGTCATGTGACCAAGTTGGCGATTTTCTTTACTTTAGGTTCTCTAATGCAACCTGGACTGGTACAGCTGTTTGCGCATGTGCAGGATAGGTTTCAGTGCGCAAGCGCCAGAAAACGGTTTTGCTACCAACGCTAGACATATACCTGTATTCATAGTCAGGCCTTATATTTAAAGCCTCCTTAACTTCATCTTTAAATGCTCTATAGAATGACCAGTAGAGCATCTGAAGATGAACTCAAGGAGGCCTTAAATATAAGGCCTGACTATGAATGCGGGCATTGACCTCCGGAAAGTGACATTTGAAAGTTGGAAAATTATTTTGAAAATTTTGGGAAGTTACTGAAAGAATAGTGTAACATTCACTCCAATTGTGCTTTAGGCAATAGTATTGAACACACAGTAGATACACACACTCGATCTTATTTTCGAAGACTATATAATATTTGAAATATTTGATAATATTTGAAAACTTAAAAATGATTTTGAGAAATTTACTGAGTTCCTAATGGTAATGATTATAGTTATGGAACCCACACAGCACGTAATATTATATAATATCGCAGTAATATTTCCGTAATATTGTAATATCGCAGAAATATTATTGAAATATTACTGTGATATTATATATATCACGTGCTGTGTGGGAAATGATTGTTATAATAATGATAATGACGATATTCATTGTAATAATCTAAAAAAGAAAGTAGGGAAGGAATTTTCGGAAGAACTCTCGAGATTAATTATCGCCAATTTTTTCCGCCATTCGCCGTCAGCGCCATCTCTTCGAAACAAATAAAACATCGGATAACGACATATCTTCATGTAAAATTTTACATTTTTTGGCTTTGAATTGGAATAACTTAGTTCATAGAGTGTTTAGGACAAAAATAAAAACATTTTTCGTATATATTATATAATTGGGCCATGATGAATCGATTGAGCCTACTTAGAACTCGATCCGATCAGTCGTTATGACGGTACGATTATCCAACCATTTCTCAATTAGAGGCGCGGCGTAATAATACATGCCCACTCTCGCTGCTCGTGCCTCGCGCGTATATTTGGCGCGAGATACTACCATGTCTCTTAATGCTCGTGAAATTCTGTCTAAGTTGATTGGTAGATATCAGAAAAATACTACAATATTGGTAACTCTTGCAGTAATTTCGAGTATTTTTACATTTTCCCAATAACTTGAATCAAGTTCTAATATTGTGTTAAAACTCCTAATAACTTGAATCAAGTTCCAATACCAGCCTTAGAATAATCCCTTGAAGGATTATTTTACGCCAAATTTTGCCCTCATTATTCTGAAATTACGCCAAAATAAAAATTTTATGCGTTAACTCAGCATATCAAAGAGTCACTTTGGCAGAATTATGCCAGACCTGGCAATCCTGGCGCCGCATGCACACGTGTAGATATGCACACCGTGATGAGGTGAGATTTTCTCAAAATCTCATCATTCTTCCCGTCGCGTTTCATTCTCGATCTTGAGCGATGCGCGTAAGCGTCTCGCGTATTCGCCAGTCCGCGTCTTGTCGCCCCTTTAGATCCCCCCTCCTATCCCCCTCCTTCCGCCGGACAGTCGCGCCTGCCCCTCTTCGGGTCGAGCGCGGTCCGGTCGTCTTAAAAAGCGGTCGAAATCGGAGATACCGCCCTGTGGCACGGCCGGTTATAGTCGGCCGCGCAGTAACTAACCGAGTCTCGGGACCAAGGCCATCCGGTCACTTCCCGGCCCCTACCCTGGCTCCCCTGGTCCCCCTTACTTTGCCCCTGTACGCCTCACCTCCCTGGCGGCGGGTCGCGGAGTGGCCCTCGAGGCCCCGCGAAGGCTCTCTCCCGCCCCCAGCCGCTCTCTGTCGAGGAAACCCGGCTTGCTCGAGAGGCTTCCCCTTCGTCAGGCCCACAGCCAACCGCCTTCCACACCGTGGTGTTCCGTGCATTCTTGGGCCTCCTCGACGTGGCTTGTCGCGACGGGTCCGTGTGCGGAGGGTACCCCGCGTAGCCTCCCTCCCCCCGAGCGAAGGCGAGACGAGAAGAAGTCGGAGAAGAGGAATGAGAAGGCAAAGATCGCGGGTGGACGGCGACCAGCGGGAGAAGATGAAGAAGAAGAAGCAGAAGAAGAAGAAGAAGAAACGAGCAGGGCAGACGGGCAGGCAGGCGGCGGGAGAAAAAGAGAAAGAAAGAAAGAGGGAGAGTGCGCCGCTGGTGATGCCGGGTGGTAGTGCGACGGTGAAGGCGGTTGCGGAGGGAAGATTTGAACCGAACTTTTATGGCGCCCCGGCGTGGGCGAGCTTTGCCTCTTTTTCTTCTTCTCCGTCGGTTTCTCTCGCACGCGTAGCTGCGAGAAAGATCTCCGATACTTTTCTCGAGACCTCAACCCGAAGGTCTAGTAGTGACACTGTTCGGGTGGAGGATTTCGGTGGCCATGCAGGGAAGTTTCCGAGCGGCGTGGGCGGCTCAGTAGGTAGGTTGGTAGGTGTACCGAATCCATTCCTGAGCGGCACGAACCTTGAACGCTGGAGGGTGTCGCTTGAGAGTTATTAACTTTTTGTTTTTACAGGCTGTACATGAGAACGACGACGTAAAGCTTCGTCGTCGTCGTCGTAGTTATCGTCTACGGACGAGCGGCGAGAGATCCGTTGAACTTGAACAGTTTTGCCGAATTTACTCTCACGAATCAGCGCGCAGCCGATTAATTACGACAATAGACGGAAGATGATAGAGATTCGTTAAATCCGTGCATGGCAGAGAAAGTTTGATTGAATTAATCAAATTTCTGATGGAATATAAACGAACCAGAAGTTCCGGTTGAAGTTATCGGAATTCTACAGGAGTCCATTCGCGGATGTCAGTGCGAAAATAAACTTATACTGTGAGAAGATAATAATATAATTTGCACTAACATCCGCGAGTAGATCTTATAAACTTTACTTCTCTCATTCTAATTGTACACTAGCAGAGTCTGTTTATATATACCTTATTACCAGAATTCTGTTCAGGTTCAGGTTAACAAGATCCCTGGTTAACTTGAGCGGAATTTTAGTAGTTTTAACCGGAATTTTTTGTTCACATTTCACCGGAAATTTTGTTAATCTAACCAACAAATTTTATTCATGATGTGTTAATAATCTACACTGGCAAGTATATTTTGTTTCGCTCTAACTTGTTGGGACTTGTTGCCAGTTCGGGAAGTTCTTCGAAAAAGAACAGACCTCAAGTTAATAAGAAATTTTGTTAACTTGAACAAAATTCTGGTAACTTCAGCCGGAATTTTCTGATTCATTCATATTTTACCAGGAATTGACTAATCTAACTAAACTTTTTTTCCGGGTCTCTTTTTTTCTTTACTGCTATTTTCTTGGAAGAATTTCGAAAAATACTTAATATAATACAAAAATATCTAATTTTTATTTGTTATAAGCTAAAAAAGAAATAATATAATACAGTTCAAGTAAGCTAGAAAAAATTTGGTATTTTGCCATGAAACTTTTTCCTGAGCATACCACTTAAGGGCTTAATTAAATTTGCAGAGAGAGAGAGAGAGAGAGAGAGAGAGAGAGAGAGAGAGAGAGAG